ACTGTGACCCAGGAGATGTAAGCCAAATAAACCCTTTCCTCCCCAAGCTGGTATTAGTCAGGGTGTTTTGTCAGAGCAACTGAAGGCAAACTGGAACAAACAGCATCTTGGTTTTTGTACATTCAATTCCAAAAAACAGAACTACCTCTTGATTCTACTGGATTTTATGACCAGTCAACTATTCAAAAATAAGAACTTCAAGGGACATTACTGTTCACATCAACTATTTTGAGAAAACTACCACCAGAATGATTTTAGCTAATCTAAAAGTCACTAAAACAGCCCCAGAAATTAGACAGCTGATGAACATTAACTAAAACTACCAACAAAAATAAGGATTAGATAGTAGTATAAAGATATATTTTACCTGTCCTGATTCTGTAACTGAGAAAAATTAGAAGGGAAAAAAGATCCCCTAAAGTGCAAGTTGGGGGTTGGAGGGGGTATATTCATTACTTCTTCTGTTGCTACGATAAAACACTGTGACCAAAGAAACTTAAAAAAAAAAAAAAAAAAGACTTTATTGGGCTTCCAGTTCCAGATTGAAGAGTTCATAATGGTTGAGAGGCATGGAAGGAGGCAGCAGGAGTAAAAGTTGGAGTGCTCACATCTTCAAGGAGGCACAGGAAACAGGAGACAGATAGGAAGTGGGACTTGGCTTTGAATTATCAAAGCCAACCTACAGTGACAAAGCCTACCTACAGTGACATTTTGCCACACCTCTAAAAGATTCCATGACTCTCCCCAAACACCACCAAAAACTGAGGATCAAGTGTCCAAATACTTGGAGCCTATGGGGGACAGTTACTCAAACTACCACAGAGGGGTGGTATAAGGATAAATTTACCGATTATTTTTCTGAACCATGATTAACATTTATGGACCACTCTACTCATCAAAAGTAGAATCGTTCAATCACACACACATAGCATAGTTACCTAGATAGACCATATACTCAGTCATAAAGTCACAAAAAATTTAAAAGGATTCAAGTCACACAAGGTGTATTCTTGCCCACAATAAGGGGTGGTATAAGGATAAATTTACCGATTATTTTTCTGAACCATGATTAACATTTATGGACCACTCTACTCATCAAAAGTAGAATCGTTCAATCACACACACATAGCATAGTTACCTAGATAGACCATATACTCAGTCATAAAGTCACAAAAAATTTAAAAGGATTCAAGTCACACAAGGTGTATTCTTGCCCACAATAAAATTAAGAAATCAGTAATAAAAAAAAAAAAAAAAGGAAACCACAGCACATCAAGATTTCTGAAATGCTGCTCAAGCAATACTTAAGGGAAATTTATAGCACTGGGTGTCTTTATGAGAGGAAGAGTCTCAAATCACTGATGTCACGTTTCTATTACAAAAAAGTAATAAAAGAAATCAAATATAAAGTAGATGAAAGGAAATAATAAAGTTCAAAGTGGAAATCAATGAAATTAAAAACCAGTAATGGGGGGGGGATCAATAAAACTTTGAAAAGGATATAAAGGTGACAAAACTCTAATTGAAAGAGAAAAGATACAAGGTGCCAATATCAGGAGTGAGAGAGGCATCATTACAACAGATTCTATAATTATTAAATATATAATAAAGTATTAAGAACAATAGCTTTAAACACCACAACTCAAATGAAATGAATATATTCCTTGAAAGATAGGCATGACCCAGTTTTCTCAAGAAGTGATAACCTAATGGTTCTATTAAAGAAACTATAACTGTAGAAATTTTATAGCCACTTTTGAAGGAGCTGTGTCTTTGCTCTGGAAACTGTTATTGGGCATGTTAAAACTGTAATGATATGCTTCTTCTAAAAAAGAAATAAAAAATAATACTAAAAAATGTAGGAAACTCCATATCTTGAAATGGAGATCTTCTTTAAAGGGTAAAAATTCATTCAATTTTATATCTTACAGGGTCTATACTGAGTTCAATATTGTATGTATTAATTCAACTGTGAATCTCAAAATTTACAGCCACCTTTGAAAGAGATGTATCCTTGCTCTGGAATGTGTTACTGAATATGTTAAAGGTGTAATGAAATGCTTCTTCTAATTGTGTAGTTACTAAAAATTTACTTCATATTAAATAGTAGAGGTGACAAACATTACCAGTGAAATCTACCTGATGACTTTATAGCCATACTCAGGTACTAAGGATCCAAGTATAACCAACTGTGACTAGAAATAATCAGATTCATAGAGATCAAAGACACATGTGCAAACATTTAAGTGTTAGTAGCATTAAAAATGTAGGAAACAGCATATTTTAAAATGAAATGAAGATCTTCTTTAAAGGGTAAAAACTCATCAATTTTATGTCTTATAGGGTATATACTGAGTTCAATATTGTATAACTGTATTAATTCAACTGTGAACCTAAAAATTTACAGGAACTTTTGAAAGAGATGTATCCTTGCTCTGGAATGTGTTACTGAATATGTTAAAGCTGTAATGAAAGGCTTCTACTAATCATGTGGTTATTAAATTTAAAAAATTAATTTAAAAAAAAGAAAAAGAAAAACTATGACCTGTATGTCTTCACTGGTGAACTTTATCAACTATCAAAGAAAAAAGTACTGCCAACTTCACATAAACCATTCCAAATATCGAGGAAGAACATTCCCAACCTCCGTTCAGATCTGTCTCCATCTGCCTCATTAACTAACTCTCTAGACAAAGCTTCTGGGACCTGGGGAAACAGCTCAACGGGTAAGATACTTGCTGTTCAAGATGAGAACCTGAATTCAGATTCCCCAGTAGCCATATAAAAGTGAGCATGGTGACTGTGGTACACATCTGTAACCCCAGAACTGGGGGGCACGGATTTAAGTGAGTTCTAACCAAGTTCGTGAAAACAACATAAAATTGAGTATTTTATTAGTTTGCTCATTATATTATCTCTTATCTCTTTAAAGAAGTTTTCTCTCTTGTAGCATTTTTAGCTTTTCACCTATTTTAATTATTTTTATCTATTTTGTTCTTGATTCTAAGGTATTTCATCTACTTTAGCTTACAGGTCATTATTTTGTTCTTTGTATTTACTATATTACATAGCATCTTCTATACGGATTTGATTTAGAAAACACTATTATTTTCATTTGTATATATATGAGGTATGTGTTTCTGTGTGCACAGGAGGTTATGCGAGTATCAGTGCATGCATCTGTAGAGGCCAAAAGTCAATGTCAAGTGTCTTCATCTATTGCTCTCCACTTTATTTTGTTGAGTTTCTCAATGAGCCTGGAACTCACCGATAAGCTAGAATTTAGGCTGGTCAAGAAGGCCCTGGGATTCTCATGCCTCTGCCTCCCGGGTGCTGGGATTACAGGGGTATGTGTTCTATGTGGGCGCTGGAGATCTGATCTCAGGTCTTCATGCTTGTATAGGAAGGACTTTACCAACTAAGCCATCTCCCCAGCCCTTTGGCAGACATTTCTAAGAACTGTGTTTGTTTCCTTTTTGCATGAGCCTGATTATGTTTCATAGACGCAGTACATAATCTTTCTATGCTCTTTTACTTCCAAGACCACTACTTTTTTCAGCCTAGCCATTTCAATTGATTTTAAAAACAAAAAAAATACTAATTGTCCATAAATGTTCCTTTTATATTCTAAGTTTGATAGAATATTCCGTGTTGTAGACAATCTTGCTTTTCAGAAAAATATCCAGTTTAAAAAAGAATACTTAGTTTGTCACTATTACAAATATTAAAATGACAGGAAGAGCTGTGCCAACAAAGATGTAGGTTGAATGGTAAATATATCTAAGTTTCAGTTTGGTTTTCTCTAAGCAATCTGTTGCATGTCATTTAACTTATTGCACTAACAATCCCTTCTGTTTGAAGTAATGATAAGTAACTCAAACCCTTCTGTTTAATGATTTACCTGAAAACATTGTTCAAAATAAAAGCCAGAAGGGTAATAAGATAATGGCTAGAAACAAGCTCAGAACCCCAAAATAATCCAGACACTGGAAAGGATTCATGTCTTGAGAACACTTCCCCACACAGAAGATGAGGCTGAAGGGCTCAGTAATGATTCTGGTAAGAGTTAAAAATCTAAGGCCTGCCAAAGTTAGAGCCCTTCAGGGCTGTTGCTTACTAATAAGAATAGGCCAGATGTTAAGCAGTTCTCGAATCAGACTTCAACAAACCTCTCTATCAAACAAGAGACTAGAAAAAACTTGTAAGCATTGAACATGAAATGATTAAAATGGCTCCTAGGTACCTGACAGAAGCAAACAAAAATGCTTCCTGAGGAAGATAACATCATCATAAGTCTCAAATGACTTATTAATAGCACCTCCAAAATAATTACTGAAATTGTGTAAATTAAGTACAGATAAAATTCTTCTAAATAAGCATTATAATATTTTTTAAGATTCTCTTTTTTACTCAATATAAGCTGTGTCTACAATTAAAAGTGAAATATTTGGGGAAAAAAAGATTCTCTTTTTGGCTTCTTTACATTTCTAGCAATTAGAAAAAATAAGACTATGTAAGTACAGAACACTTTGAAGTCAACTGTTCATAAATTGGAAAAATCCTCAAAATGCAATTTAAACTTCAAGACATTTCCTACCAACTCAGTATTATATATGAACAACTTTTAAATTTTAAAAATTAAACTGGCTTTATTTTTAATGTGGTCTACTCTAACAAAGAAGGATCACACCTAATATAATATACGTATAATGATATATGTAACATTCTGAAATAAAACAGAAAAGCATCCATTCTGTAATAAGTCATAAGTATACATGTAACTCAATATTTTATCTTTATAATCTCCAACTGAATTCATTTTCTAAGATCTATTTTCTTTGCCAAGAAATAGAAAAGTGTTTTAAAATACTATTTCAGAAGTCTTAACCACTTACTACTTTGGTAATTTTGAATTGGTATTACCAAAAGAGATAAAAAATATACTCCTTTTAAATAAGCAGGCAGCTACAAATATCAATATCTTCTTTCTCCCCTCATACCTATTGTATCTGGGAGGTCTAGCAGTTCATTGTGCTGCAAGTCAAGGTTGGTTATCTGTGTGCAGTTTCCAATCTCCTTTGGAAGGTGTTCAAGTTGATTGTGAGCTACATCCAGCGTAATGAGGTTACATAATTCACCTGTAAATTGGATCAACATAATAATTTAATAAGCATTAAAGAATATATCAGCTAATACTTGTAAGCAAGGGAGTAAATTTTATGATTTCTAAGTTCAACTTCTATCTGAAAATGGTAAATTATCCAATGAAGACACTTGTACCACAAAAGGAAAACCTTTTATAAATACATTCCTTCTTTAAAAAAAAAAAATCAAACACAGAATCTCAAAGTATTTTTCAAAAATGACAGCTGATAAAATTAAAAATATAGCTTATTAAGTAACACTTCATCAACCTGTGCTCCACATCTTGGTGCTGTCTTTTGGTCCTAGAGATTGAAAACAGGGCCTCACACATATTAGGTATGCACTCTCACTGTGCTACACCCCACTGTCCTTGGCAAGCCTCTGTGTTAGATACTGCTTTTAAAATATGTGTGTGTGTGTGTGTGTGTGTGTGTGTGCGTGTAATTTTTGTGTATTTCATACAGAAAATCATCTTTATACACCCTTCCCCTTTGGCACCCTCCCATAGCATGTGCGTACACACTGGAGTTCATACACACTGGAATTCATACACTGTCATTTGTGTTAAGGCTTGTCATGTAAAGTGAGTCTCCCCAGATGTCTCTCAGTGCAAGTTCATCCACTGGGATCTAGTCAGCCTATCTAGATAAGAGTCCCTTCCTTTAAGAAGAGAAGCTCTTCCTCACCCAGCAGTAATCAGCTGCCAATAATTCTTCAACTAAGATTAGGGCCTGCTTTTCATATTTCCACAGTTCTGTGCTGGGCTTTTGCTGCTTAAGGTTACACGGATCTTGTACATGCTGGCACCATTGCTGTAGGTTTGTATGAGAAGAGTCCCAGGCCCTTATATAAATATTTCTGTGTGGTCATGCACCTCCTACCTAGCTCTTACCATCTTTCCACGCCCTCTTCCACAATGCTCCCTGAGCCCTGGGTGGGGATTTTAATATAGGAGTCCTGTCCAAGGACCCACACTTTGAAGACTCTTATTCTCTGTGTTTTGACCATTTGTGACCTTTTGCACTCCTGGCCCTCTGTTGTATGAGGGAGCTTCATTGATGAGAGTTAAAAGATGCATTAGTGTTCTCTTCATCCCTTGTTCTTTGTTCCATGAGCCTTAGGTGTAGAAGCTGCATCCTAGATGTGCCACTTAGACTTGGGCAATTCACAGACAATCTCTGTGTGACCAGTTGTGGAACTCTGTAATTATCTCTGTCTCTTGAACAAGAAGGTTCTTTGATGGGTAATGCCTGCAATGCCTGTCTATAAATTTAAGGTTTGCTTTTAAGCAGCTAGTTAACCACAAATGTCAAAATATTCTATGATTTTTTTAACCAATTTTGTTAAACAAATTCAGCACATATTAGGTATATCTTCAGTTCAATGAGACACACCTTCCACCCTAATATGTTAATGCTTTCAAAAGCCATTATTCTGATGTTATATGAATGGTTAAACTAATAACTTTAAATAAAAACTCCTCAATTTCATAGAAAATGAGATATATTTTCCTTGCCCACTCTGGGTAAAAGATGTATAGTGACAAATTAGATTTTTCTTCTTAGTATTAATCACCCTTTAAAACCTTTTTCATTTGTAACAGATTTGTTGAACCTCTTTTTATTTACTTCTTTAGGAAGAGGAGATACTAAAAAGGTAAAATTATAGTACTCTGAAAACTGTCAGACACATTGTCAAGCTAACATATTGTAGACAAAGGCAACTAAACAGAAAAGAAGTTTGATCTCATCAGAATTTAAAACTTTTTATGCAAGGATATTATCAAGAGAGTAAAAAGGCAGCAAATGAGAAAGTGTTTCCAAGTCATTAATTTGATAAGGGATCAATATTTAGAATATACAAAGAACCACAACAAAATAATATCCTTTTCAGTTCCCCCAAAAAGCCAATTAAAAAATGGCTCAGTGCTTATCCCTGAATAAGACAGCTATATCAAACTTCTGCTCCCAAAGCTCGGGGATCATTGTGGAAGAGGGGGCAGAAAGACTGTAAGAGTCAGAGGTGGTAGATGACCACAAAGAAACAAGAATTTTATAGATAGCTGGTCAACTGCTCATATAAACTCACAGCAACAGTGACAACATGCACAAGTCCCCAGACAAAAGTTCAAACCACACAAAAATCCCAGCATAGACATCCAGCATAGAAATGAGCAAGTGGGTAAGAAGTTCCAACCCCACCTAACAAAATTGTGGCAACAAATGAATACTGGGAGAGACAGAGACAGTCTCTTTCAAGCATGGGACTCTTGGTAGGTTAACCAGGCTCCAACAGATGGACCCCACAATGAAAGACATTTGGAGACACAAATTAGACTCAGATATTAAATTGGGTGGGGGGCAATAAGGAAAAGAGAGGATAAGCAAGGGATCTAAATACCATCAAATTATATTGTATGAAAATTTCAAAAATTCAATTAAAAATGTAAAATAAACCTGTGGATCCACATGCCTTTTATATAATATGTGCACTATTTGTGCATACACACACACACACACACACACACACACACACACACACACAAAGGGTTCAGGCTGGGCATAGTGGAACAAGCTATAAAAGTTCAAAGCCAGCCTGGACTACATAGAGAAACCCTGACTCAAAAAATAAAAAATAGAAAAAATTTTAGGGGTTGTTCAGGTTTTCAAAACACAAAGATATATAAATGACCAATAAATACATGGAAAGGTAGTCAATACATCTAAACAGAGAAATAAAAAGCAGCCCATTAAGATGTCTATTATCAAAAATCAGAAAGTGTTGGTGACTCTGTATAAGAATTAGAATTTTGCAAGTTGGGCGTAGTGGCACCTTTAAACCCAACACTTGGGAGGCAGAGGCAAGTGGAGCTCTGTGAGTTCAAGGCCAGCCTGGTCTACATAGTGATTTCCAGGCCAGCTGGGGCTACAGGGAGACCCTGTCTCAAAAAGACCCCCCCCCTCAAAAATAAACAGAACTTTGCACACAGCTGACTGGGAGTTAAACTGGTATAGCTGCTGTGGAACTCAACTGAGCAGCTCAAAAACTATACTAATTCTACCTCTTGGAATTTTAGAATTACCTCAAGAAAACTGAAAACAGGAACTCACTCAACAATATTATAAGCAACAACAGATACCTGTATGAGTATGATACTCATATAAGCATTATTCACAATAACCCAAAGGTGGGCGACAACCACAAATGCTCAACAATAAATTAATGCATAAAAATGTGTTATGTATTTATAAAAAAGGATGGAATTCTGATACATGCTAAACATAGGTGAACCTGAAAAGACTACAAACAAGACATAAAAGAGCAATAGATTATCTAGAATACTCATATTTACAGACAGAAAGAATTGTGGTTACTGAATTCCGAAGGGTGTATAGCTGTTTTTTATTCTCAGGTGATGAAAAAGCTTGTAGATAGATAATAATAGCTGGACAACAATATGAATATGCTTAATGCCACTGAACCTCAAAATAGCTAAGAGCAAATTTTTGAAAAATATTTTCATCAAGTCTGAGAATTTCATACAAGGTTATTTTATCATATTCTGATCCCCTCTCCCATTTCCATCCCCATTTTCCCTCCTCCCTGACTTCATGTCCTCTATTATCATTCTTAAAAGATCTATTGAGTCTAATTTACATTCCCCAAATGCTCTTGGGAATGAGTCCATCCCAAAAAGCCTAGTCAACCTACCTGGCATCACATCTTAAAAGAAAATCAACTTGCCTTCTTCCAGTAGCTATCAATTGCCAATAGTTCCTCAGCTAGGGTTGGGTTTCTTGCCTACCTTTCCCCCTCTATGCTGAGATTTTGTCTGGCTTGAGCTTGCGTAAGTCTCGTGCATGTTGTCAAAACTGTTGTGAGTTCTATATCCAACAGCCCTGCTACCTAAGAGTTAAATTTTATGACACATCTACTTTGTAATAATAAAGAACATTATGGGACAACTTAAATGCTGAGATTTTTACATTAGATAAGAGGAAGAGTCTCAAATAAGGAAGTACTTTATCTAGAGAGAGAGAAGGAAAAGCCTGTGCAAGTAAAAAAAAAAATCATAGATCAATAAATAAATGAATACACACAAATAAAATTAAAAACAAGGGCTGGAGAGATGGCTTAGTGGTTAAGAGCTGATGGTTCCTCCTAAAAATGGACCCCTCCATCTACATTTTCATGAGTTTTACCTTCACGAGCCGTATCCCAGACTCACAGGGCAAAGACAATAGAAAATTATCTCCTATTTCACCCAGGCATATAAAGCTGCAGAAAATCTAAGACTGAAAATTTCTTGAAAGGAGAGAGGAAAAACAAAAACAAAAAAACCTTATGTACAAAACAAAATATTATATTCAGGGGTTAGAAGAGATGGCTCAGTGGTTAAGATCACTTACTGCTCTAGCAAAGGACCTGGGTGCACCCAACCTTAACTCCAGTTCAAGGGGCTCTGACAGCCTCTTCTGGCCTCCATGAGCACAGGCACCAGGCACACATGAACTTACATACGTACGTGCAGGAAAAACATTCATACACATAAAATAAAAACTTTAAAAAGAAAATATTGTATCTGATTTTTTTCCAGAAACCATGCAAATGAGACAACAGAGTAAAGCATTTTAAATGCTGGGGGAGGAGGTGGAAGGGATCATCAACATAAAAAAGTCTATTTCAAGCCGGGCGTGGTGGCGCACGCCTGTAGTCCCAGCACTCGGGAGGCAGAGGCAGGCAGATCTCTGTGAGTTCCTCTGTGAGTTTAAGGCCAGCCTGGTCTACACAGCAAGTTCCAGGCCAGCTGGAACTAAAAAAAAAAAAAAAAAAAAAAAAAAAAAAAAAGAAAAAGAAAAATCTATTTCCAATAAAATTAAAGGAAAAACAAAAGATTTCTCAAACTAACAAAACTTGAGTGCGCTTATACTAGCACCAAAACTGACCTGCAAGAAATGTTAAAATTCAGAAAGGGCACTAATGTATGCAGAAA